CACTTTATGAGGCATATCAGTTGGAGCATCATTTTTTTGTCCATTGTGACCAGTGTGCAAGATGAGATGATAAACTTTTGTTCCAGTCTCAGACGCCCTATGTGGTCCAGATTAGATGGGCTGATATCGTGTATTTTGAACCGGCATTAGCGTTAGAGCAGAATTCAAGTTTCTTCATGTCTAATATGAGAATCTACCATTGTAACAGTGGATCCAGGTTACAGTTACAGAGCTACAGCAGCGTCTACAGCTGTGGGGATGCATGCCAGCTAGAGGTGTTAGAGATTCTGTCTAAATCCCAACACCGTTCTTCTACTTTTTTCTAGTAAAAGCTCCCTCAGACTTTGTTACATCATACAATAACATTTGAAAAAGTGTCTTATTGGCAATAACCTGGATAGAAGAGCACACAGTGGATGACTGTCAGTCATGGATTGGCCTCCCCAGAGCCTGGACCTCAACATTACTGAAGCAGGGATCATCCTGACAGAGCACTGAACAAAAGCAGATAAAAAAAAACAAAGAAAAGCTTTGAATGTCTTTTAAAAAAGCCTGGAAACTATTTCTGAAGACTATTTAAAGTACAAGAAAACTGCCTAAAAGAGGTCAGACTGTGTTGAATATTGACTTTTAGGCTTGTTAGAACTGTACAAACCTTAAACACTATAGTTCCATGTATGTTTGCACATATTTCAATAAGTCGCTGCACCTGTTTCCCATTATCTTAGGAAAATGTGATGAAATGGAAGGTGGGTCGAGACTTTTGCACAGCATTAGGGAAAAGCTGCTTCTGTGTTTAGCTTTATGGTAAATAATCTCTCTGTAAGTCTATAGCCGATTAGTCAATAGGCACACAATATATTTGCTGAGGAAAAAAATTGATTGTTGATCAATTATTCGGTCATCGAACCTCAGCCTGGCTGCTTGTCGATGTGAAGATTTGCTGCTTATGTCCCAAGAAGCTAATACCGTAAATTGTAAATAAAAATAAAAATGAGCGTAACTCGTTCTAACAGATGCTTCTTTGCTGGTGGCTTTTTTTTCGTTTTTTTCCAGAGAGGCTTGTGACATTATCTGTGCACTTCAAAAGAAAAACCACAGCAGCCAAGGCAAAACCACATTTTCGTGTTATATTTAGAATCACTTTTGTTGTCTTTTGGTGCACACTGTAATTTCCATGTGAATGTTCGCAAACACACACACAGAGGGATGTGTGCATGCTGCTCCATCCTGCTGCCCGGAGCTTTGATGTGCATTAGTGAAGAGAAGATCTGGTATTTATAACCACTCAGCCATCCGTTTGACCTTGGATGCAGGAACGATACTAATATCTGCTTCCGTTCTTAGATGGGGTTCATTGATCATCCCTCCATTATACGTGTAGATTCGGCCGCGTGGAGTCGATCGCGGCTCAATAAGCAGCCTACACTTTGGATGGTGCTGCTCAGGTTTGTCAGTCGGCGTTCACAGCCCAGCGATGTTCGATAATCTTCCCGTAAACGCTTTGCAAACAGCTCCTGTTACACGAGGCCTGGTGGGTCTCTGCTGAGTTTTATTTTTTATGTTTTTAAACTATTAGAAGCTACTGAACATTTCCAATCAGTGCTTTTAATTCTCTGTGCATTTGTTGAGTTCATATTTAAGGCTTGTTGTACTTCAATACTTGGCCAATAACGTGACATTAAAATGATGCATTTTTTGGCACTTGACATTGGAGTTGGTGTCCACAAACATCTCTGCAATGTCTTAATATACGGTTCTAATCCATCAGTAACATGATGACACGTTTGTGAAACAGCTCACAGATTCTCAGTGTGTTTGTTTGTTTTTAAATGACTTCGGCTTCTCATCGTTTATTTTATAATGCAGCGATACAGCTTTTTCCCATGACCACCTTCAAGTCTGAGGCCATTGTTCTCAGCTAGAAAAGGGTGGAGTGGCTACTCCGGGTCAGGGATGCTTTGCTGCACCACATGGAGGAGTTTAAGTATCTTTTACATGAGTTAGGGAGGAAGAGAAGATGGCTATACCAGTCTGCTTGTCCAGAGAGGTGTGTGTGAAAGTAAAGCTGTTGATTTAAAGGTCAGTCTACCTCTCTAACCTCACCTATGGCCTCGAACTCCGAGCGATGACCAAAAAAATCGCTGATACAAACGATGAATTTTAGATTTCCCTGAAGGTCGGTGGGCTTCATCCTTAGAGATGAGGTGAGGAGTCATTTGTTAGGGACTCAGAGTAGGGCCACTACTCCTTCATATAGAAACCAGCAATCTGAGGTGGTTCAAGCATCTCCTGGGCACCTCCTGGGTGAGGTGTTGCAGGCGTGTCCTACTGGGCGGAGGGCGGAGGATACAGGAACTGGAGGAAGTTACTGGGCTTCTCTGCTTATGGGCTGGATGGATGGTATTTATAGGTTCATGTTAATCACTTTAAATTCTTCAGACTAGTCTCCTTTAAGCTCAGTGTAGGTCATTATTGCATGCTGCTGCTGTTTACCGGCTCCGTCTGAGTGCACCTCCTTTTGCTGCTCCTCACACACACTGTGTGTGTGACGTGTAGCTGACAAGAGACGGGTGAAGTGAAATAATAAAAATAACTGAGTTGACAACATAACGACGTGTTAGTGTAAGTGTAGTAAAAGCTTCCCGACAAGTGTCAAACCAAATATAATGAAAGAAGAAGTGAGAGAGAGACAAACGGTCGTTCTTGTATCTTTTCAGCCACTCACTCGACCTCAGTTTGTGGTTAAGTGAAAAACTTTTATACAAATAGAAGTTGTTGATATATCAGCTTAAATTCTCTAAACTGCTGACCTTTGCTGTTTCCTTCATGTTGCATGAGTTTCTCTGCTGCAAACTGTTTGTCACTCATAACCAATCCAGCTTTACAGCAACCAACTGGAGCTTTATAGCATTTTCTTCCAAAATAAAAGTCCCCCATTTTTCTCTGTTAATATTGTAGTGACAAACACACATTTTATAGAATATTGAAAGGGATACCCTCTCTTTAAGTTTAAAAACTAAAAAGTTACACCCCATCCACGTCCTTTTTTTTACTCGTCACAAACAAGGAAATACTTCATCTCAGTCACTGGTGGGAACAGCAAACCCAGTTTCATGCTGCAGGTGTCTAAAGTTAAATTATTTTCACTTTAATAAAGAAGTTTGGTAATCATTTTTCTCTTTCCGTCACTTTTTGCTGCACTCGGCATGAGTCTGTCAACAGGAGGGCGCAGTGCTGCGAAGCTGGAGGCGTGCAGCAGTCGCCTGGAGCTCTTCTTCTAACAGCTCACCGTGGCTCCTTCTCTGACTGTTACTAATGCAGAAATCTCAGACTGATTCACTGATGGCTGTAAGCTCACTGCTGACGAGCACCTCGCATTTCCTGTGGCTACTTTATAATGAGCATCAACTCGGGTTTCGATAGCAGCAGAAGAAAATGTTCTGTTTGCTTCAATGATGGCTTTTCTGGGAATGTCGCCGCCAACGCTAGTTGTTAATCCTTAAAATTTATAAGCTTTGCAATACTTTCATCATTAGCTTAGGCTAATCATTATCGTTGTATTACCTCAGCAGGCCATAGATGGTGAATCCTAGTCTCAAACTTCAGATTGTGGCCACTGCCGTGTTAGTTTGCAGAGGTCTGGATAGAGGATGGAGGCTACGGTGGAAGTCTGAAGACTGGGACTCAAGTCTGAGGTCCAGTCAAGTGGCCATGAGAGGAACTGCATTTGCACTCTTACACTGGCTTCATTTCTCAGCCCTCGACGTTGCAGTTTAGATTTAACTGGTGTTTTGTTTTGTTTTTTCAAAAAATGGCAGTTGTCACTTTATCAGCTAGTTGGTGATACTCTGCTGCATTTAGCAACCAAAACAAGAATAGAATAGAATAGAATAGAATAGAATAGAATAATCCTTTAATTGTCCCAAAAGGGGGAAATTTGGTTGTAACAGCAGCAAAAAAACACATATACAAACAGAACAGGACACAGGACATAGAACAGAAACACACACATTTTTTTACATATTTACATCATGGACAATAGTTACCAAAACAGAGTACTGTACAGTTATTAAAATTAAAGTACAGATAAGTGTTTAAATAGTCAAGAATATTTAGAATAATTGGAAAAGAACAGATTGTGTATTATAAAAAGTAGAAATGTAACTTCCAATAAGTTAGTATATATATATATATATATATATATAATATATATATATATATATATATATATATATATATATATATATATATATATATATATATATATATATATATATATATATATATATATATATATATATATATATATATATGTTGAAAACTGATTAAAAAGGAAGAATCAGGTGTAACTTTGTGTAAAAAAACACTAATAAAGGAGTGGAAGGACATAGCTTTTACCTAACCATAGTCATCGGGAGTAAATCGTGTGTTTCTTTGGGACTATTTTCAGCCTTGGATTAATCCAGATTTGTTTCTCCGGTGAGTATTTATAGCAGCAGGAGGGTGTATATAGGGCTGACGGTAGAGAGCAAAGGCGTCACCCTGTATAACAGTAAGGGTGAAGTGGTGTGGATAGCGCAGTGAATATTACCTGAACTGTTTTGGTTGAATAATAAAGAAAGATTTCAAATAATACGACCTTACATGCCAACTTCAGGTTTTCAGGCTCAAAATATGTTTCAGGAAACAGAACTGAGGTTGGACACTGTGCCCTGAATATTAGAGCCTCTCTGCATGCGTTAAGTGCACACGGCGGTTTGTTTGTGTGTCACCTGTCCGTGTCAGGAAGACAGGAAAGTGTGCCAGGTCCTGATTGGCCTCCAGCCACAGAATCAGCCTTGTTTCATCCGCTCTAATGACTCTTTAAGATGTGGCTTTTGGATCTGGGTCCACTTTGTCACACCTACTTCCTGTCTCTCTCTCTCTCTGTACTCTGAGACACACCTGGAGCCGTGCCTGATGGACTGGTGCTCAGCCATATGCCCCGCAGTGTGCCATGCTCGCAGACTCGGGCAGCCGGTTTGCTCAGCGTGGAGCTGCACGTCGATCTGTGGATTTACTGAAGCAGTGCAATATGGACACAAAGGCTTATCTCTGTCCAGAGTGTCTGAAACAACGCAGGATCCATGGATTAATGCATTTGTGGAGCGATCCTCGATATGTAGTAGGTACTGCGATGCGGAGGCAGTAACAGGCTGCTCACGCGTGGAGTGTAGAGGGCTTCACTCTGAAGTGGTGTTGAAACGAGACGCTGCTGCTGTCAGAGTACAGACAGAGTTTAATGGTGGTAATAACGTTAACGTCACTCCTGGAGATGAAAACAGGGTTTGATGTAAAACAGGCCTCGGTGCAGTTTACTGGTATCCCCGGTGTTTGTTTTGGTTTGCTTGGAGAGCCAGACGGGTGGAGTTTACAGCAACAGCACAAATAAGACGCAGGCAGCAGGAACTGAGACAACATGAAATGACTGATTGATTAACAGCAGTGTGTCAGACGTGACAATTTCATGGTTTCCTTTTTATTCACCATGCATACAACAAATCGGACGATAAGGGTTATTTTTAGTATTTATTGCTGGGCAGAAGTTGTTGAGTTGGTCTGTGTTTGGATTGTGAGTCGAAAGAAGTGCTTCAGTTACTTCACGACTCTTTAGTTTAAAAAAATATTTGTAAATCGAACACTCTCTGTTTCATTGCTTTCAAATTACTCCACATCATCACCTGAGTGATTGCCAGTTAACATCACAACTGTCAGTTTGTCATTTTATTTATTTTTCTCTGTATTTTTTGACAGCTCAGAGCTGCAAACTTTAACATTTCCATATCTGAAAGCACAGAAGGATGGGCTCAATCTTGCTGGTGCCTCATTATGACTTATTTTGGTCTACACTGTGTGATTTCTCCACAAATAAGATGAACCGTATTTAGACGCCCCACCGAGCGACTGACGTTTTTGGTCTCATGCTTTCAGATTAATCGTAATGTGGTAACAACCTTCATTTCTTGCAGATGAAAACAATGTCTGATGAGACAGAACAGAGAATGTGCGACGAGGATTTTGGTTCGGACGAGGAAGGCGAGGAGGGAGACGTGGAGTCTTACCTGGAGGACAACAGCAGCGAGCTCATGGACCGACTGAGAGAGCTGGAGGTGAGGGAGCGAAAGACTCGCCGTCCTCTTTGGGATCATTGACAACTCAAACCACCTCCACCAGTGGCAGCGACACACGTTTGTCTGCTGTTTCCCGTTAGTTCTGTGGAGATTTCTTACATACAAAAGCAACTGCAGACAATAAATTGTCATTGATGTTGGTATTATTTTAGACCACACAATCTGGGCCATAAGAGACAATTCATGCGGTCGTTTTGGGTGCACAGCTCTGGCTACATAAACCCAGATGTTGAATGTTGACTTTGTGAAGGCTTCAAATTGAAATTTAAAATGTAAAAATAAATCTAAAGGTGGTGATATCAAAGGAAAGAAACTGCTCACAAAGACTGCAATGATTTATTGATATTGATTTAAGTTTACACTTCTTTGCTAATGTTCTAAAGGACAAAGTTACAGTTATTCACTTTCTTGCTGATAGATGAGCACATTGCACACTCCAGTATAACTCTACAGGTAGCAGCTGGTTAGCTTTGACTGGAATTGCGGAAGCTACTCACCACCTAGCTCTCCTTAAAGCTAACAAAATCTTTTTGTTGGGGATTAGCAGGCTGCTTGAAGGAAGCTTGCCTTGATACGTTTATCGATGTGACATATTTACATGTGTCCACGTGGGTGGATTTTAAAATAAATTGTTGAGGGTGGGAAGGTAATATGTGGCAAAAGCACCTGTGTTAGTGCAGACAAACCAGTAGCTTTACCCAGACTTCCTGTCTTCTCTCAAATAAAATAATCTAACTATGTTTGACCAAAATGATTTAATTCTAATATTTTGCTTTCTGGAGCATTATTAGCAGAATGGACGCAGAGACACACGTTTAAAACTTGAAGATATATATTTGCTTTTCATTGGGACTTTAAGCCACAAAAAACAGTGTGAAAACAGCCAATTGACATTTTACTGTGCCTAATCTTGCATACTGTTTCTTGACTGGAATCAGTAACTTCCTCAGGCCTCTTCTGTTTGAGTCTTGGTAATAAGCTCATTACACCAAATGTCAAATGGCTCCTAAAGGCTTTGCTTCTAACAGGTTTTTCTGGTTGGATGATAATGAAAACATCTAAATTGTGTTTTATGTTACAACATCTGTTTTTTTGCATTGTAATGTTATATGTGGGAAATTACTGCACTGGACTGCAGTGGTAGTTTTGGTGTCTGCTGGGTACTAAGCATATACTGGGACCTTTGAATGTTTTTTTTTCATGTTTACATGATTTATTCATCATTTGCTTCGCAGGCAGAGAATTCAGCTCTCGTGCTGGCCAATGAGAGTCAGAGAGAAGCTTACGAGAGATGCTTGGATGAGGTGAGTCCACGATGAAAGTTATAAAATCTGCAAAGTCACTCACGAAACGTAAACTCATGTAAATGCTTTCTCACGCTATCAGGTTGCCAACCATGTGGTCCAAGCTCTGCTGAATCAAAAGGTAACTTAAAGTTAAATATCTATATTTAGGTTTGATTTATCTTGGATTATAGACTCAGCGCCATCCATCGTGTCTCACTGCTCTGTGTCTGTGAACAGGATCTGAGGGAGGAGTGCATCAAGCTGAAGATGTTGGTGTTTGACCTGGAGAGACAGAACCGAGCGCTGTGTGAGCTTTTTCAGCAGAAACTACCCAACCACCCCACCGCTCACTACCAGGTAACAAACTCCGTTTCTTCTCTATTTAGACAAAAAAAATACTGAATACGTAACTAGAAATAACCGAGTTTATGAGATCTCTGTAGCTGCACTTTATTTCTGCTGCAGGCTGCACAAAGCTTAGCCGGCAGGCTGTGAGTGCACTGATGGTTCTGTTTCTGCTGGTGTGCATATTGCAAATTAAATGAGCTAGAGGCATGAGTCTGTGTGCAGAGCCATCTCTGCAGTCCACCAGTATGAAAGCATCAGATTCCCAGTGCAGAACTTGCAGAACACTAGGGAAAATATTTTTTTCTTCAGCCACTCCTATACTCATAACCTGCTGTGTTTGGAGCTGCTGGTAAACATAAAATAGAGGACTGAGTCTTTGTGCCGGACCATCTCTAAAGTCGCCTTTACAGCCGCAGGATTTCTAAGCGGCAAAGATTGTTGCATCAGTTGGAAAACAAAAGACATTTTTACCAAAGACTGTAACAGAAACCCTCCATTGTGTTTCTATAATTCCTGTGTTACGTATTTGTTACGACACACAGTATTAAAATGCGTCACTGTTCCTAATTTTCTGTCATGTATACATTTCATATATACTGTTTATACATGAAAATTATGAGGTCATTGTATCTACAAGTAATTCCAAAAAGTAATTCCCTGTTTCAGACATTTTTTTTCTCCTCTTTTCTGTATGATGTCGGTCCCTGATATGGTCATCTCGGGCACAGGGCTCTGGCTAAACGTCCACCTATTGTTCAAACTTGTGTTTGAGAATGTTGGCTTAAAGGGAGAGGAGATATAATGGCTCGTTTCAGAGAGCAGGTGCACCAAAGGCTCGGTATGAGATAAATGAAGATTATCTTGAAGTGTAAGAGTCCAATAATAATAATATAGACCTGGAAAACATTAAAGGTCCACCTTAAAAGAAGATTGCTGTGAAGCAAATGTCCCTTATGGTTATGGTTCTGTGTTCGTGTCACTATTGACAGTGTGTGAAGTAAATCACAAAGCAAACACCTGAATCTAGGACCCAAGTGGCTATCAGCTGGACTGGATTTTATCCAGTACGTTTTTATGAGTTTGCCAGTTGTGGAGATTTAATGTCTGCTTTCTTTTGAATATAATGGAACTAAATGGCACTTTGCTGATATTTATTTATCCTAAGTCCCGAACTCTTCCACCAGCATGCATTGTTAATTTCTCTTTGATATTTGGGCTGATTGGGACGGGATGAATGTAAAAATAAAGACTTACCAGATTTTTTTAACCTAATTTTTATTTCTAAGAAAGATGAGAGCCACATATGAGGATATTCGTTTAAAATTTTGATGGAACAGTAGCAGTATAATGTCCTCATAAGTGGATATCAGGCCCTTGTAGAGCAAAATTGAGTATTCTGGTCTAAATAACCCAAAATGTGATGTCCACATATGTGGACGCCAGGTCCTAGGAGGTTAAAAAGCATGCATGCTTTTTGTTATGATGATCTGATTTATCAAAAAGACCTTGTTGTAAACACTTTTTTCTTTCTATAGTTTCCATTTGCCAACCAAAACAAGCACCCATGTAGCTAATATTACAGCTCAGCTGAGGGAAATGCACTCGATACCTACATCCTGTTGCACTGTTGCTGGTGGATGAGCAGCAATGCGCTTCCTTCAGCGATAAAGTTGGCAGATGTTATTTTGATAGAAGGAAAATAGTTGCTTTAGAAAACTAGTCACAATGAGTTTTGTATTGTTTAGTTTAGTTCAGTTTTTTATAAGCCCGGGTCATTATTTCTGGAAAGACACTGCTGCGGAGTATATTTTTAGTGGTCTGAACACCACTCGCTGAGTGCTTTTTAGCTCCATTATCGTCAAGAAACGGCACACGTCTTTGCCTTTGTTCCATATTTATCCCCCACTTGCCACCCTCTCAGTGCTTCTCACATTGCAAATCCATAATAAATAAAGTTAGAATTTTTCACTCGTCATTCTAACATGTCTTGTCTTTGCCTGCACTTCCTTCTTTCCTCAGCGTGGTTCTTAAATTATATCTTTACTTTGATTTCTTTTCTCTACCAGCCTTAACAGGCAGGACTGCACACTCAGTCAGTTTGCAGTTTGTCTGCAAACTGTCACAGCGGCGCTCATTTGAACTACTTTAACTGCTTAATAACGGAATTTAATAATTGATTATATTTTATTGGGGTTTTTTAATGCAAGGTATCCAATAATGTCTCAGTATATTTTAAGAACCTGTGTGTTAGTGCAGCGCTGAAGCTGCTGATTTTTCGTTATTTTTCCAACGACAGTGGGCCTGTACGGAGCTCGCTCTTTTCACCTGTACTCTAAATAGTTTCTGCCGATGCCAGGACAATGTAGCTCTCAGTCGTCTGTGTATATAATAGCCTGTAGCATATACAGTCTCATCATAATTGCCTCATGAATCTCCTGTTACAGGTTCAGGCGGGACCGCTCCCAGACTACAATGCACAGCTGCACAATGACTCGGCCAAACAGGTGGAGCCGGCACAGACTGAAGCACAAGCCAAGGTGACTGTTACAAACCATAAGAGCCTCTGAATCAGACAAAAATCCCCATCTGCGTGTGATGTTTGAACCGCTCTGACATTTGCTTTGCTTTCAACTATTGTGCTTTAAAAAAAGACTCCACTTCTAATCTCCCTCGCCCTCTTTCCTGTACGCATGCACTCAAAGGTCCCGATGAATTAAGCTGTTTGGCTCTCTCCGTGAACTGTATACTGATGGTAATCTGTGTCTGTCCACAGGGAAATGGCTACCGCACACAACATGCCTCGCCGGGCCCTCGTGGCCCCGCCGCCAACATGGAGGCCCTGTCTCCCTTCTTCAAGAAGAAAGCACACATCCTGGAGGTCCTGCGCAAGATGGAGGAGACGGACCCCCTCAAGTTCCACCCATCCACGACGAGCTTGTCTTTCTGCGACTACAGCCAGGTGCTCATGTCCACAGAGGCTGTTTTGGCTTCTGCGGACCCCTCCCGCTGCAGTGCAAATCCCACCACACACACTGCCACTGCTCCTGCTCGGACACAGACACACACCAGCATGTGAATGGTGACGGAGCAGTGAAGTGTGAGGGGGGAACACCTGCTGTTTACACTGCAAGAGGAGCCCAGAGAGCCCTCCAAAGCCATGCAACCATGTCTGTAGTCCTTCAAAAGCCACCCAGAGCCATATAGTTCCTGCAGCTGCTATGAGTGAATGTCACAGTAAGACCAGAGCGGGAGAGTCTAAACAGAGCACCAAGAATGAAGCCAACCAGCAACCAGCGGGCGCCGCCGCCCACTCATCCATCGCAGAAGCAGCCAGTCAGAATCTGGAAGGAGAGGAGGATAACTCGGAGCTAAACGCTAGTGCCTCTGAAGAGCTCACTGGTTTCTGTGCCACCTCCCACCTGCCTAGTTCTGCACAGGAGGCCCACTGTGACTTGGATACAAGCGATGGCGTTCCCAATGGTTTGGCGCTCTCATTTGGTGATGAACCCTCAGCCGTCCCTGAGAAAGACGGCACAGATCCGGAGGCTTCCTGTGTAAGAGCCAGCGCATCCGTCAGCCCCAGTCCCTCCTGTCTCAGCGACGTTAAAGCCGCTGCTATCAACTCCCCATCCAAACTGCTCAAGTTCTTAAAGATTCCCTCGATGGGGGAGAAGTCGCAGGCTCCCACCTCTTCTGTCCGCCTGAGCCCTCAGCTCACTCGCAACTCCAGGATCCCCTGCCGCACCAATAACTACGAGGTTTACCACTCGCCTGTTCCCACACGCAGAGCGACCACCACTGAGAGGTGCAGGCAGCCCCCTCCTCCACCCGCCCGGTCCGAGTCGTACCCCGCCACACACTCGGCACCAACTTCCCTCCACAGCCCGAAGACACCTGCTCCCCACCCGCTAAGGAAATAAGCTATAGCAGCCTGTCTGCACCTAAACCCACTGTGGGCTCAAAGATCGGCGCTCCCTCCTCCTCACCCAAAGTTTCTCAGAGGGTCCCTCATTATGAAAATGTCTGTGACATGTCCATCGGCTCTAAAGAGGAGGAACCAACCCAGGGTCAGGAGAAAAGAACCACTCTTCCATCTCAAACTAAGGCAAACGCTGGTGAGAGGAAGCTTGTTAAATCGCTACCAGAAAGCGTCCTGAATCCCGCGCCTCAGCGAAAGCAGTCGTCCTCATCGACATCAGAGTCTACATCAGATGATGAAGAGGATTCAGACAGCCCTGTGTGGGTTAATCATCACAGCCTACCCAACTCCTCTGCCCTCAGCAAAGCTCAGAGCAAAACTAACTACTCACAAACCAGAGAGAAGCAGGATGGGCACACACGGGAGGTGAACATAGCGAGCTCTGAGGTCACTCAGGGTCCGCCTGCACCTCCAACCAGGAGGAGTGACTCCTCGTCCATTCCCAAGAGGCCTACGGTTGGGGCGGCGAGATCTCAGGCCGACTCGAGTCACCACGCTTTCAAAGACAGACTGGCTGCGCTCGGCAAGCTGAGGAGCTCGGAGGATTTACAAGGCGGCCTCAGGCCCACTGATGCGGTGAATGAAGGCACCTACGGAGAAGAAAGAGGCAAGACGGCAGAGATCCACAAGGAGGAACAGAGACATTCAAAGTTCACAGACTCTTCGGACGGTAAGCCTAAAGGTAGCAGTGGTGGTTTGAAGTATCCGGGGTCATCTCAGCTCTATGAGCAGCCAGTAAAATCTTCTGGTCCCGCACTGGTTAAACAAGAACTCTGTGTGACCAAGCCAGAGGGACCGAAGAGTAAAATGGGCCTGCCGTCACCCAACACAGATGCTCCCCAGGTACTACGCAACAACATCAAGTGTCCTGGCTCCCTGAATCTGGCCTACAACGTTAAAGCCAGCATCGCTCCTCACAGTAGCAACAGCCCCAACAAAATCCCTCCAAAGTCACCGTCCAAACCTTGCCAAGGCCCGTCCGTCCACAGAGGGGGCAAGTCCGCAGAGGCCCCGCGTTACTCGTCCAAGTCAGAGGAGAGGACCAAGATCAGCGGGAAAGGGAAAAAGAATCCAATGTACGGAGACAGCCTCCCGCCTCCTCCTCCGAGACCTCCGGCATCTGAGGTGGAGAAGCCGTCGCTGCCGGTCCCCACCCTGCAATCCGCCATCGAGCAGAAGGTGATGAAGGGCATCGAGGAGAACGTGCTGAAACTTCAGGAGCAGGACAGAGGAGGGCAGGGCGGAGAGGTCAAGCAGAAGGCCTCCAACGGCATCGCGAGCTGGTTCGGCCTGAAGAAGAGCAAACTCCCCGCGCTGAGCCGCAAGACCGACGGCACTAAAGCAAAGGAGGAGAAGAAGGAGTGGAAGATAAACATTCCCTCGGTCGGCAGGGACTCTGTGAAAATGGCCTCCAGGTGTAAAGAAGGCGTGGAAGGTCTGAACATCTCGACTCTGATGGAGAAGGCCGAGGGGCTGAGGAGAGCCCTGGAGGAGGAGCGGGCCTATGTGGAGAGATCAGGCAGGGGTCACTCGTGTGAGGTGGTGATGGATCAAGCTCAGGGACAGCTGGCGGTCATGTACAGGGGAGCGCGCTCTGACAACTTCATGCAACAGCTGCTAAACAGGTGAGGACTCAAGAAAGGACATCAGAGATGTAATATTTTAAGAAAGTACACTTCTTCTTTCTTCCTGGCAGAGATGTAAGCCGCTTTTAGTACATGCAAAATCAATTATAGATGTTGGTCTCAACTCAAGAATTATTTTCTGTAGAAGCCAAGTAGCATTTGAATACTAATCGCAAGCACCAGCCTGGAGCAGCTTTTTGCATATGTATATATATCCAGGGATTAAGATCACTGTAAACATCCTTTAAAACAAGAAACTGCTGAAATACGACAACTTGCACTGAGTGCTGGGAGATTTTATTTAATGTTAGTCTTTCAAAAAAAAGTTAATCAGTAATAATCTGACCAGCTCCCCTTGTCCTTTTTATTTATTAACTTTCATTAATACCACATACCTTGAATAATGAATGAAAGGTAGCCCAGTCTTCTGCCTAGTAAATGATGAAATTCACGGTGCAGAAAGTGCAAGTGTCCTCCTGCATGCTGATGACGGTCATTAATTAAATACGTTTTAAAATCCATAATTAATGCAGGAAGAAAACAGGAAACTTTCCACTGAGATATATCATGAATCTTTCCCAGCGTTTTCCAGCAGTGACAGCTCTTCCTCTCCTACACCAACTATCACATGAATGCTGCTTTTTATGTAAAACGTCTTCAATGTCTAAATAAAGGAATCAAAGACGTCGTCATTATTTTTTTTAAATCAGCCTGTGTGTGGTTTAAAAACAAAACAAATCCAAGCTGTGTAAACCGTGTACAGCTAGAGCCCACTTCCTTGTATGTGTGCAAAGACTTGGCCAATAAAGCCGTTTCTGACTCTAAATGTAGAGTGGACGGAAAGGAGATGATCAGCGTGCCCAGCGACGGCTGTCGTTCGACTGTAAGACGTCGAAGCCGGTGTTCACCCAGCAGAGCGACATCATCAGTCACACCACCAGTCACGACGACATGGAGAAGGTATTTCTTTACTTATTAATCTGCAGTTCAGAGACTAACAGAGTTTAAAAGAAACCTGAGGGAGGACATTAAAAACGGAGCTCTCTTTCATCGAGTCGAATCTGTTTACACTGAACCGACTTTCAAGTCTAAACCTGGCATCTAATTTGTTAGACTTGTCTCCTGCATTGAGATTTGAAGATTTCCGCACAGTCACGGCTCTTTCTGCATCTCTGTTGTTCTTTCATGCAGGGATCAGAAAGAATCGGCAAGATCACATCAGATGAAAACCTCGCAGATTCAGTTCACTCTCAACACTTTGCAGGTAAGATAAGTCTGCCGGGAGTCTAAAAAGGTTTGCAGCCTTTGTGGAGGATCAAAATAGACTTAGGTGGAAGTCACAGGGAAGTAAGGTTAATAAGAAATTCACAGAGAGGAAGGGAAGTAGGTAAATTAAATGCAAAAAAGAAAGAAAAGTGATAACAATATAAACTATGTGTACGTTCAGATGAAAAATGAAACTATTTTGAGTATTTCTGCTACTTAATCTTTCATATATCTACCCTAATACATTTTAGAGAGAAAATATTGCACTTTTAATATAAAGTTGCTATTTACTTTGCTTGTGCGCAGTGGCCTAGCTTAGCTTCACACCAACAGGATGCAATATTAAAATGTTGCTTTTATGATAAGGAATATGGAAATAAACACTGCTACTGTGATCCTACGAGCCCTTCCTCAGATTGGAACATTTTACCAAACTTTGCTGAACACATTTCGATGTTATGCAATAGTATTAGAGCTTATATAATATTAGATATTATACATTTTAAACATTATAAATATTGTCCCATCAGAGGTGAATGGGGATCCTCTACACCAGCTGAAGGATATTGAAGACTTACACAGTAGTCCAAAGACTTTCAAAATAAAAGAATTTGAACTAGTACCTTTCAACGGTCAATTAATTTTGTTTATCTTTTCGTGTCATCCGGGCTTCACATTCACAGTAAATGGATTGTGTTTGTTGCTTTCTCCTTCTCTGAGGACAGGATAGGGCAGCTGATGATTGCATTGAAAACTTGAGTATTAAAAAAAAGAAATATGGCGATTAGACATATCATTTTACGATCAACTTCAATACCTCTGTGTAGATAATGTATTAATCCCCAATCATTTAATATCTGTACTTTTCACTGAGTACTTTTATTTTTTATAATTTAAGCATGTTTTTTGTAGATAATAATTACACACTTTTCCTTAAGGACTTTCAGTATTTTTGCGGTATTATTTGTGTAAATGATCACACATTCAGGCACTGAGAATCAGCGATGCTCCATGAGGGTGTGACTGAAACACTGAGGGGAAATAAGCTGCCTCACACCTTTGTTAGCATATCAAAGGTGAACAAACAGGGCACACCCCGAGGGGAACTCATTCTGAGGCTGCAGTAAAAGATCAAATAAATGAGGACGCCACCAATTTACACATTTGCTTTGTGAAGTTTTTCTTTTTTTTTTTTTTCTTCTAAATTCTTAAATTATGCAAGCAGTTCATTAATTCACATTTGCTGAATCTCCCTCCCCCGTGTTTTTCCTCCGCAGGCTCCGGTGCTTCCACCTACACCCTGGACAGCGGCATCGGTACGTTCCCTCTGCCCGACTGCAGTAGCGGTGTAGCTGCACGGGGCCTGTCTAAGACGAAGGGCGGAGCCGAGCACCACTCCGGCGGTGGCTCCCCAGGGAGAGCCGGACGGCGAGCTCGCACCCTGGACAGAGAGCTGACATCACAGGAGGACTGCTACGCTCCACACAAGCAGCTGATTCCCACCATTCAGTACGGGTCCGTGTTGGAGGGAAGAGGCTCAGCCGGCGTCATCCGCGAAGGTGTCAACACTCCGCCCCACTTAGACATAACAATAACAGATGGAAGAGGTCAGGTTGTTGGACAGTGTTACTTAAATGGGATCTGTTACGCCGATTCCCAGCCCTACGTTCATGTGTTTTAGGATGGTATGAGTGTAAATAAAAGCATAAAGAGGACACTAAGAAATATAGAATTATAAAGGAAACAGTATTAAAGAACTTTTATCCTCCAGAAACCACCAATATCCCTCTTAAATGTTTAGCTGGTTCATTTTGGGTCAAACCTTTTCTCTGCAAAGCCATGAAGCTCCAGTAGCATGGTTACAAAACACATTTATTCCCTTTTGTAGTAACCATTTTAGCCTAACACTTAAACAGTTTTAACCTTCCTCATGTTGGGAATTTCGACAAGTACTTGTGCTCTTAAATTCACTTCAGTAATAACCCACGGGAGAAAATCCTCGGCACAAGAAACACAAACTCATCTTTATTTGTTCCATCTGCAGACAAAGAGGCACATGGAGGGAACATGTTTTCGCCTCGCTCCAAGACTTGGACTTTCCCCAACCTGAAGACTCCAGCAGGACCTGCGGAGGTGTACCTGGCAGTGGAGGAGGAAGAGGAGGAGGCGGTATCCTTTGGATCACCATTCAGAGGGGTAGGCATACTGTGGTTTTACTGTTATTCAAATGCACCTTTTATCGTCTTCAAACGAAGTTGTGAGGACTGTTTTGTAGCACAGAAAGAGCTGCTGATGTACTCAGGCATAATGGACGTATTTCATTAACTAATGGTGAGAAATAACTGAAGAATGCAAAGATTTCTGATAGCTAAGGTCATGTGGAATCACCGCCTTTACTGTATGTTTAACAGCATCCACAGAAACCAACAAAAAGCCCTTCCTGAGTCAGAAAAACTCCTGACCGATGAGCTAATTTTTCTGTTTTGGTGCGCACATAACATCTGCACAAGACTCTGGTTCTGAGTCCACAGCAACATTTTTTATTTATTTTTTGCAGTGGAAGCATCCATGACCTCATTTTCAGAGCACTTGTTGTTGCTAGGTTACAGAACTACGGTGGCCCTGAGGGGCATAGACGACAACAACAAAGGAGAAAACACAACGACGTTTCACTTTACGGGAAAGGTTAGGCACGGCACTTCTGCTGTTTGGCTGATCAATCAAGAGGTTATACTGTTGGTTGGTTTGCGACGCAGAAATCTCTTCTGCCATCAAATTAATCAACGCTTTTTTTTCTCGCTTCTACCTGCAGTGCTTGAGAGCAGCTGTGCACGTGTCAGGAGTTTGAAATCGTTTCCTGTTTTTACTGTGGTGAAGAAATTTCAATCTTTTGTCAGTTTTATCAGTTCCGGTGTTTGGAACACCTCTGCAGGGTTAGAAGCAACATTCAATTCAAGCAACACATGAAGAAAATGCTTTTGTTCGTAGATCATAAATAACTGGCTGGTCAGTAACGACCACGATCCTCTACCACGACTGACTATTGGGCCTGGAAGTGCTTTGGAAATTAATTTATTTCACTAATTTCAATTTATAATTATTGTAGCAAAAAAAATTTCACATTATCAGTAATAATGTGATATATCATTAGCAGTTTTTTGTTATTTTATTTCCTGTCAGTAAACATCATTATGAGCTTTATTTTATCCATATAACTTTATTACTTTACTATCATCCCGGACAAGGCCCCAGTTACAGGCCCTTTCTAGGGAAAAACGTCACAAAGAAGTGTTGCACAAAAACCTTGTGATTGCTTTGGTTGCTAGCAGATTGCTGCAGTTACCCATCCTCATGAAAGACATCGACTTGTCTGCAAATCGTATCTAACTAATTACTGCAACGCAAACAAGAAAGGGAGACTGTTCGCCTTCAAATTAAAAGCTGTACCTTACCGATTAAACCAAAGACGCCGCTTTTGCTTTGACTGAGTTTCTGGTTTGTGTCACACAGTCTCACAACCACTTAGTGAGAAATTACAAGTGTTTGCAGACAAGTTGGCATCTTCTATACACACTACAATGACTGTGGGAATCTGCTAGCAACAAAAGCAATCATAATGAGGTTTTTGACACAATACATGACAGCCAGTAACCCCTTGTCAACCAGTGGGGGAATAGTATTTTTTTTCCTAGAGACCAGAAGTTTCTCAGAGGTAACTGACCTGACAAGGTTACATTGATATACTGATATTTTTATATTGATATTATTAAGCATTATTATTGATACTATGAGTTGATTCTGCTACCATAGTTGCTATTCTCCACAACTACTCACCACACACATCCCCCCCTAATAACTGGTCTCTAAGCCTACATGACTGCACTAAACTGCAGTGACTCAATCAGACCATCCACAAACCTGAATAGGCTCCTGTGAGTCAAGGTGCAGGGCACAGTTCCACAGAGGAGCTACTGTTTACCCAAATGTTTGGAACGCACACAAAAGGTGAGGAGCAACAAGAGGAGACAACAACTCAGCAAAGTAATGACTGTTTAACTGCGCCTGTATGACTAACAGTCTAATATACTGAGGGTTGTTTTTTGGGGAGGGCGTTGTGGGAAACTGATTTCTGTTTGCATTTTATAGAAATGCTGTTGCTGTTAACTGTAATTGTCCTGCCATTGGAATGTTTACTGTATTGTCAAGTGCATACTTGTAACATGACAACCTGAATATAGTGACAGCCTTAGTTGACGGTGTTTCAAGTCCCAGCCTGCCTTGATTTCGATCAGCAGGTGAAAGAGAAGTGACGTTAACAAGTGTAGCACCGTTCCGAAACTATTTCACTGACGGCGTAAACTGGGGAAAGATAAAAGCTGAGGACTCCATGTGTCACTGACGCTGAGCTTTTTATAGAAAATTGTGCAAAAAACACTTCCTGTGGACACAAGCTCTTATCCTCCGCTGATCAAGACAACTCAAAGAAGATCAATTTTTCATCTGCAGTGAAACTCAAACTACCAATCCCAGCTTTGACTAAGAAACTGAAGAATAAGAATGCAGAGACTAGAGACTAGTCCTTAGGAAGAACAACCAGAGAAGCTTTGAAGGTTATTATGCTTTCGTTAACGAGTGTTTAATGAGAATATTATTCTGTACTTAATGAAAAGTGCTTAGCAAGAGCATGAGAAAAAGACTTATCTGGGTCACTTACAGGCTGAAATCCTTTACAGGCAGTAAAAGAAGGGATACATTTTTAAATCTGCACTTACATCTTACATAATGTAAAAAAACACAGAGCCACATTCTCCCTGTACAAATTATTCATCAGCTGAATATTAAAAATTTACAGTTGGATGAATCCTGTAACCCACTTTTTTAGTGTCACCTGAAGGCGTTACATAAGACGACAGCACATGACCTTAAATGTTTCCCATCCTTCTGCTTCCTTTCAGAGCACGAAGGCCAGCGGCCCCTCCTCCAGCCGGGTGGTTGATCCAGGCAGCCTGCCCGTCCCCGCCCAATCGGGCATGAGCCGCCGGGGAAAGACGCGCACACCCAGCGTCCCCGAGATGAGCCGGGAGGCCGGGCTGGAGCTGCTCAGGGAGCGGCCAGAGGAAGCCCTATCCCCAAGTCGCCCTCAGGTCCTGGAGACTCCAGAGTCTCTGAGCGATTCTCTGTACGACAGTCTGTCATCCTGCGGCAGCCAAGGATGAAGCAGCCAAGGACGGGAGGAGGAGAGGGAGGAGGAGGAGGACGACGACGGGGAGGACGCGTCTCCTGGTCGATGGCTGCGCTGAGATGCTGCTGAGGAAAAGAAGACTGCTCCCCGTCGACATCCGCGAAGAAAAAACTGGTGACGTCTCATCAGCTGTTGTAACTGGAAAGATGGATTGATCTCCTCAGGATTTCCAATAAACGTGAAGCCAAAAGCCACCCAAATCGTATAGGTTGTTCACTTTTCACGATCAGACTCGACTGTGGACACTTCTCTTTAAATCATGTGTACAGGACAACAAAACGCATGGCCAAGCTAATGAGCAGCACAAAAAGTTGTCACTCCCAGTTGTCGTTCGGTGACCTCTCTTTCGTTTCTCTCATCGTAGATGGAGCTTCGTCCCGTACGTCAGAAAAAATTGGCGAGGGGTTCAACAGATGGCGTACTGTACTGTATCAATACATCCATTCTATTCTTGGCATCATTTCACCGCATAATGTATTAAAAAAATAGAAAAAACCCCACAAAAAACATGGAGCGCCTTTTAAAAAAAATGAATGTTCATGTCTGTGACTCTTAATTGCGAAACTCATGCATCACGATTTTAAATGTATAAACGATTTTATTGATCATGTTGATATTGTTTTGCGGCCAAGGAAGGTTGTCAGAGTATGTTTGTTTTGAAATCATAATACATTTAAAGGTAATATATACCAGCAATAATAACATAGATAAGAGAAATGGCTACACTATTCAATGAATATGTATTTCTATTATTTATTTATTTTAAATGTTCATCATTTGCAGTCATCTTTTTTTTTGTAATCTTTCTGTGAAAACTGCAGTTTCCTCGCTTAGTAGGTTATCTTCATATTTTGTGTTGCATCATCTCTATTGCCGTTTGTTCCCTAGCAAAAATAGAGGTCCTATGTACCTACTGCCGTTTTTCAACTTTCTAATTAAAATGTTTTGATTTAGTTTTGTCTGAGTCTTTTTTTTTTTTTTTTAGTAACTATATGAGGTTGTAGTAGCTCACAGACTTGGATCTGCAGTGTTATTTGCACAGTTGTGAAAAAGAGGTTTTATAGAACTCGGTGGAGTCCTGTGAAAAACGAATTACCCCCTTACTGTTTCTATAGAGGGTAACCAGCCAGGTTCTGCTAATCAAATTCACTGATCATCAGTGAGTGTGAGCACTTCTATGAAAGCAGAAGTTCAAGCAGTTTTTCTCATCTGTAGCATTCAGGTTTGTGTTGACATGTTGCCACAATCGTGCCAGAAGTGGACGTCACAGCAAACGCTCTCCAAGTGCCATATTTAGACAAAACTGCAAAAAACTGAAGAGCTGCTTCTCAGACTCTACAGGCCACAATTAACGTGTTCATTTTAAAGTTTATGACAAGACAATTAGAAAAAGACTGAACAAGTGCGGCTTGTTTGCTGCCATGCCTAAAAAGAGCATGGCAGCACGCTTTAGCTTTGAAAAGCTGCATTTGAGTAAACCGCAATACTTTGGAGTGGAGATGTTTGGTGGAGATGCACCGAGTCATACACAGCACAGTAGCACAAGCGGCTCATACTAACTGTTGCACGGTGGTAGGAGGGTGATGATTTTGGCCTGTTTTGCAGACACAGGACAGCACCTCGCGGTCATCGAGTCAGCCGTGCTCTTCTCTGTCTGACAAATAAACCGTGGCCCAAATGCAGTCATACAACAGGACAAAGAACTGAATCAACGACTTGTGATTGACAAATTGTTCACCTTTGAGTTAGTCACATCAACCTCTTATTCAGCGCATCCAGTTTCCAAACACAAAGACTGTAACGGCGAGAACATTCGTTTTAAGGCTTCAAAATCAGACCAATGAAGACGTATTTGACAGCAGGTCGGTGGGCTTTCTGGGCCTCAGATGGTCTTACTAGGAATTCCCACTCTCACTGACATCATACAGAGCCAAAAGTACAAAAAAACTGTCTCAGCAGAGTGTTTGCAGCAACCTGAAGCCTGACCCTTTTGCTCACAGGGATTACATTCATGAAGTAACTGCAACACTGACAAGAACTCAACAATGATACAAAAACAGTACATCTTGCTTGCAGCCATGTGACTGTCACAAGCATGTTTTGACTATGTTTATGTCTCACGGATAAAGCGACGGGTTTCTTCCATGAATCTTTTCTATTGTGTACATCCTCCCATGTTAGTGAGCCATACAGCTAACACTAAAATTCTTCCATGACATGACTCACAACAATGTTTGTAGATTTCTTTCAGTAAGTGGGTAATAATTTTGGACATTTTTGCTGACTTTCAAATGTATTTTTTAACACTGTGAACCCCAAAAGAAAACACTATTGATTTAAATTATACTCAAGAAAAGGCAGACATCTCAAAAACTGGGTAAGTCACACCAAAGCAATCTAGATGGATAAACAGCTAAACAGCACTACAAGGCAGAGGAAAAATATGTAAATTACATTCTTTAAATTAAACTGTCCCTTAGGGTGAGCGATAATCTTACTGAGAATAAAGGGCCTAACATCTCTCTAACATCTTACAGGCTTGAGGACAAATGTTAGAAAGAAAGAAAGTGTACTTTATTGTGTGTGTACTTTATTGAGCCCTGTGGGGAAATTGCTCTCTGCATTTAACCCATTCACTTAGTGAAGCAGTGGGCAGCCATTGGGCGCCCGGGGAGCAGTGTGTAGGGACGGTACCTTGCTCAGGGGTACCTCAGGGTAGCTGTTAAGGGGAATCGAACCCCCGACCTTCCGATCATGGGGCAACCACTCTACCTACTGAGCTATCCCTGCCCCTATAGTTCCCATCAAGGCAATCATTTATTTCTGAATATTTTATGCAAATAAAAAATTAGAATTAGCTTTTTTTATTTGAAAAATTACATATATTTGAATATTTGAAGCATTAATTATAAAAACATTTGCAAATGCATAACACGATAAAAAAATTAATAATCAGTACCACATCATGCAAGATACAAAAGCTACAGTTTTATTATGAGTGACGAAAAGCTGTTTCTTGTGCTATTACTGAGAGATTCAGGGCACCAAAACCTTTCTGCTTCACAGATTGGCTGTAGTGCAGATGGTAGAGCAGGTCACCTACTGATTGGAAGGTTGGTGGTTTGATTCCAGTCTGTGTGCCAAACACCCTTGAACAAAAAACTAACCCAAGTTCCCCTCTGGTGTGCCCACCAGAGTGTGGATGGTAGATAGAAAGAGGTAGGCTGTATAAAGTGTTTTTCTGAGTAGAAAAGTCCTTTTGGGAGGGGGGATTCAAAGCTTTGGAATAACAATTTTCAAAGCCAAATCTTACATTTTCTAAAAGCTAAACTGCTGTTTTCTATGCTTCAGTGCTTCCCCAGCATTCCCATAAACACACACACTCTGGTGGATGCATCAGGGCTAACTCGAGGTTCAGTATTTGCCCAAGAATATTTTGACACAGGGATCTGAGTAGACGGCCTGCTCTACCTCCTGAGCCACAGATGCCCCACATCTATAACACATCAGGTACAGATTACATAGATTAGAGTACAACCACAGAGGCCTGTAATAAAGACACAATCACTTTGTCTCAGTACGTTCAACACATTTATTTGAGCAAATGTATCAAATTATTAGTTTCAGTTTTACATCAACAAAATAAAATTTCACAGTATACACTTTGAAAAGAAAAAAAAAAGGCAAAAAGAGGAAAAAAAGGAATTATACAGATGCCAAATTTTCAGGTTAACATCATCATCTGGCAAACTATTGTCTAGACAACAGATTTACAAGGGGAGCGTCTGAATCATTCGCCCGTCAATCCAAGTTGAAGGAACAAAATGAAGAGAAAAGGACAGATGGCAGCAATTCTTCCTCCTCAATGAGGCCAAAATCCAAAATCCAAACCAGCAAGTGGCTGAGAGTCCCTCTGAATGAGTTCAGTGTAGATCATAACAAGTCTGACAGGCTTCTGGGGTTTTAATCAGTGTTAGCACTCTTCACTCTTACCCAAAACCAAAAAACGTGGGAGCAAAACAAATCAGAGGAAAATTTCTGAAAAGGAGGAGCTGCTGTCAAAAACCATGGGACCATATGTGGCAACATTTCACTTAAGAGATCCAAGGAAAACTATAAATAATGAAATTACATAAAATATTACAATTATCAGTTTCAGAAGCTCACGTGACCCACTATAAAAAGGAGCCTATCATGTTAATTTATGGCACTAAAGAACAAGTAAATATGAAAAATCCTCATTAGGTGCCGCTCAGCTTCTGGGAGCAATCATAGGCAACGCTCCCCTCTACAGGCCAAGCGTTATCACTGCAGCGTTAAAGTATTCATTCACAGCCAGGATGGGACGAGCATACCATACCATAAACTTACATTCAACCCTTGTAAGTTTAGAAAAAAGTATATGATAAATCAAAGAATTTTCAACAATGTAAGACCACATAGGAGTTAAATTTCAAAATGAAGACAAAGTGAAAAGCACCAAGTGCGTTGCAAATTATGCCTTTTCTGATTGTTTTTTTTTCCTGCTACTCAAAGACTCTTTACTTCTTCTCCTTCTTCTTGTCCTGAAAACAAAAACACAAACACGGACAGTTAGTTTGGTCGAGCTGCTGTTGTGAGTGCTGTAGTTATGTATTATGAAACAGAGTGTCTCACTTCAGCCTCAGGATATTGAGCCGCGCTGATCACACGGAAGATCCCGAATATTTTTAGTTACCCGTCTCCGAGTATCGTCATCACTCAGATACAATCAGACGTCCCAGTTTTAAATTACAGTTACAGCTACAAGTATGGCATTTATTTCTTCATTACATGATTTTCTTCATGAGTGCATGCGAGTTTATTAGACAGGTGTCTGGAGTATAAAGTGAAATGAAAACTGTCCAAGGTGTAGTTAACTAAAATTAAAAGTACCAAGTACCTTCTGTCTGAAGTTAAAATTAAGAATACTAAAAAAAAAAAGAAGCTTTAAAACAAACTTTCCTGAAATTAAGACGTTAACACTACGAATGTTTAGATCTCTGTGACCCTGTTTGTGAAAATCCACAATGCTAAGTTTCAGTTTTCACTGTTTTTGTGGACCACTAATAAAATTTCCTGTCATTGTACTGTGGTGCTTTCTCAGATATCTCAAAACCTCAGCAAATGAAACCACAAATATTTGCATAGCTCAAATTCATGAGGGCCAAATAAGAAAATGTGCTCTTTGTGTGA